TCTCTGTGAGTTCAAGGCCAGCCTGGTCTACATAGTGAGTTCCAGAACAGCTGGGGCTACAGGGAGACCCTGTCTCAAAAAGACCAAAAAATAAATAAATCAATAAATTTTGAAAAAAAAATGGCATTGGGTTCTTTTGGCCTCACCCAGGTGTATATCTCAGCCTCTTTCTCTTCATCAATTCTTCATAAATTAAATGTAGAGGGTGGAATAAAGTACCATCCAGGAATCCTGACTTTTGTGGTTCTGTACTAGACAGGGATGGGAGTTATCCTGTTAGCTTTATAGTCCCCGTTTCAGCCAGTCATGCTGACAGTGAAGTGCCAAGTGACCATGAGCACATCAAGTGTGGACTGAACCATCTTAACTTGTAATGCGAGGCCCTGAGAGGAGAAAATTTTCATGGTCTCTGATACCCATGGCACCACCAAGTTCAACTTCTATTTGGATGGAGTGAGGGAAGTGCATACAAAGGTGGCTTATTGAGGCTTGGAGCCAGATGGGTTCTGTAGCAAGTGTGTGTCTCCTATTAGCTGATCAATTATCCTCTTAATCTCTTGCATTGGGCCTTCAGACAAGCAGTCAAGGACAGAGGAAAGCAGGAGCACTGAAGTGGAAGGCCCCTCTGGAACAGGATGGGAAGGACTGTGCAGTTGAATTTGAAGGGAGGCAGCGCTCCAGTGGGGGATGTACTCTCCTGTGCTGTGGCAGGTGCCTGACAGCCAGCAGGCTATCAAGAGAACAGGCTGGAATACATAGCCCAGGGGGTTGCCACTCAGGCTGTCTGAGTCAGGCAAAGACACAGGCCAGGGTAACAAGGGGCTCAGCCTCTATTCTGGCATCTCTCTGATCTCTGTTTTTTTTCTAGATATTGCACCAATAATCATTAAAACAACTAGGATACAACACCTCTTCCTTAGAAGGCATTTTTGTGTCCCTAAATACATACACAGGAGGGCCTGTTATAATCGTGGCCAACACTGTTGCTGCTTACCAGTTATGCGATTGTGCTTAAGGTACCCGACTGACTATGTCGCAGCGGTATCATTTCTGAACTGGAATTTAGTCTTCCTGGTGGACTCACAGGGCACTGGTTCCAGGCATCATAATCCATGGGCACTCAGGTCTTTATATAAAACACGGTATTATATGCATATAACCTCTATATATCTTCTTGAAACCATAAACCATCTCTAGATTATATAGAATATCTAATGAAATATCAATAGGTGTTTCACATACTACTATTAATTGAACAATGATAAGAAAGAAAATGTACATGTTCAATACAGATCCAAGTTCTAAAATTTTTTCCAGTCTACAGGTGATTCATCTACCAATTCGGAACTCAGATATGAAGGCTGACTATAGGTACTGTTTTACCTTCTAGGGTTGTTAGAATTAAATGAGTTAATGGGTATGAAAATTTAGTGCTGAGCCATGTAAATACTACAGACTAAAGCCAAACTTCACGTAAGGACCTCTTCTGGCCTCAAACTATCTCATCTCATCTCTTACCCTTCTGATACCCATCACTCAGCTCCCCCTAGGATGACCTGCCTATTCTGCTAATACCACTGCACTTTCTGTCTCAAGTATTCATGCTGTCATCTGCTAGCTAGTAACTTCTCCAAGCCTCTGCTGAATGGAGTCATTATGTCTGTCCCAAAGGGTTGAGATGAGTGAATTTCAAGTAGTCTAGATGACAAGGCAAAGCCGGGCTGCTTCTGGTCAGTGAGCTTCACCATCTCTCCTTCTGTGTTTTCCCCTAAGAGCATTGAGTTTAACGAAACAGCTCTGCCTCTTGCTCCTAATTTGGAAACTGCAGACAGTAATACTTCCACTGCATCATGTTGTTGTAAGATTTAAGCATGGGTTTGTGCTGTAAACAATGTCTCTCTCAACTGAAGTTGGAACAATAAGAGCTAATAGAAGGTAAGTACAGACTTTGTCATGGCCCAGGCCTGGAGGCATCAGTGCTGCAGGCTTCACAGGGTAGTGAGGTTTTTCGTTAGTTGTTTGAAATAGGATCTCACTATGTAGTTTAATCTGGCCTCCATCTTGAGACCCTCCTGCCACAGCCTCCAAAGTGCTGGAATTACAGTTGTGATCTACCACACCCTGAAGTTGGAAGGATCTGAAATAGCTTTGATCTAGAAATGAACTGGAATTTGGAAGACTGAGGCTGTCTCAGGGAGGTGACATATGGCTTCTAACTTGTATGGTTTGGAGGGCATTCCTTTTTATCATAAGAGCAATGAATATACCACGCAACCCAAGGGATTTCACTTTCTTCCTCCTCCTCCTTCTCCTCCTCTTCTTCTTCCTCCTCCTCCCTCCATTTCCTTCCCAGCATACTGGAATCATTATAACATTATCTCCATGATGCTGAGCCTTCTTAAGCTCAAAGAAACAAACTCAGGGATGTATTTTCTTAACTGAGAAGTAATATAATTTTTTTCATATTTTATTTATTATTTTTTATGTGGATGAGTATATTGCCTGCATGTAAGTGCATCCATGTCATACAATGCTCATGGAGGTCAGAATAGTGTCGGATCCCCTGGAACTGGAGTTACCGATAGTTGTTAGCCACCATGTCCTGGGTCCTCTGCAAGAGCAGTAAGTGCTTTTAACCACTAAGCCATCTCTCCAGCCCCAAGAAATAATATAATTTTCAAAGAAGCCTCTATCTTGTTGAAGTTTTCCTCATGGAGCCCATGACACTCTTTACATGTTTGTGTTCACAGACCCATACAAACTGTGTCTTTGCTGAAGAGTTTGGCATTCATAATTTATCTTACTAAGAATGGGAGCCTTTGGACCATACCTAAATCTTACAGTGTGTCTAAGAGCAGGTGAACTCACCTGGAAAATGTTGGCCAAATCTCTGAGATTGAAGACATAGTGGAATTTCATGGCTGTAGGCAGGAATGTGGTAGCGATTTTCTGGTGGAAGATGATGGCCAGTTTGATTAGCGAGGGGATGGATTTCTGCAGGGAAGCTGGGAAGTTTCCAAGCCTCAGGTGGTGGCTCAGAATGGTGCTATAGATGGAAGAGAGGGCATCAGCTCCCGGGAAGGAGAGGGCAAACACGCTGAAGTGACGCTGCACAAAGAAACGAGGCACACAGGAGAGGTGTAAGCTGCGTGTTCTTTATCACCCAGGGACGATCACTGCTTCTGGATTAGGGGACAGTAACTAAGGGTTTTCAGGGGCTTTGCGTGCTATGTCTTGTCACATTTCTCATGCTACATACAAAAGTCTACTGTGAAGTGATTAGGAGGAATAACGGCATTAAACCTTTGGTCAAAGGTAGCTGCATAAGGTAATGAGAAGAGAATCTGAGTCCAAATCTGGGTTGACACTGAGTACCCATATGTCCTTGAGAAGGTAATTTCATCTCTATGAAGTTCCCTCATCTGAAGAATGAGATAGTTGAGTCTTGTGCACTCTGTGAACCCTTCTAGTTCTAGACTTTTGTGACACTGAGTCCAGCAGTTTCTTGCTTATCCTAGAGTTTCCAATCGGGTTTGCCCCTTTGGTAGGCTTGGCAATAGAAAGGCCATTTATCATTTATAATCAAGGGCTAACAGCCCTGATAAGGTAGCATTAGGACCCAGGGGCTCCGCCCATGCTTGGCTCCTCCCATACCTGAAGGCGTGGGTTAATGGTAAAGCTGCCTGCAGTCGGGTTCATACAGGCGACATACTGCACATTCATGATCTCTTTTACGGATAGCTTGTTCCGATCATACCTAGGAGAGTTAGAAACCTCTGATGATCCACACGTGGTTGTATACATCTGCAACTCTGGCACTAGGGAGGCTGAGGCAGGAAGATTCTGAGGATGAGCCCAGCCTGGGACACACAAAACAAAACAAACCTCTACTAAGAGTCCAGTGTGAGGGCCAAGATAAGGAAGCCTGAGCTCTGTGACTTATGTCGTTGGGTGGTTAAATAAGAAATAGATGCCTAGATTCACTGAGAGATTGAAAAGAAACAAGAGCCCATGATGAATTCCTGAGAAATGCAGTATCTATAGAAGAAATAGCCTAGGAGAGCACAGAGGGGGACTACTAATAGGTAAGAAGAAAATCAGATCCATGTGGCTACCCAGAAAGCAAAGGAAGCCAGAACTCCAAAAGCTGCATTGCAGAGAGAAGGACTGTGCTTCAACAGGGTCCCTTGGATTCTGTAACAGCAATAGATTGTAGACTGGCTGCAAAAGTCCAGAAGTGGGTGGGGCAGAAATCACAGAGGAGTGCATTGAAGAGTGAGTGGAAGCAGGAAAGAGGGGAATTTGGTAGAACATAGGAGAGAAAGAATAGTCATTGGAAAATAGAAGAAAAACAAAAACAAGAAATTTGCTGAAGTTTCAATGATGGGAAGGAGTCAGCAATGGGGCAGGGACTAGTTAGTTGATGGAATGAGGACTTCAGGACTGGTGAGGGCTCAGCAGCACCTCTAATTTGGAAGCCCTGTCTGAGGGAATGCTCCAGGAAGCACAGAATCCCCCAAGGAGCAGTGTTTATCCTTGGGTGCCTCAAGTGCATCAGAGCTTAGTGGAGTTTGTCATTGCAGCAGGCTAGATAGTGGCCTGAAGCCCAACTACACATACACTCACCAGTGGCCGTAGTCCAGATGTTGCCTGATGATAGTGTGGGGCTGCACCGTCCCATAGGCATCTATCTCAGGCATGTTCATGTCATCTATGAAGTAGATGAGCTTCCTGTTGCCTGGAGGGCCGTAATTCCTGCCAGCTTTTTTTTCTAGAGGTTTTTCCAGGACAGCTAAGGAGAGACCCCATTAATTAGGGAAGGAGGTTTGACTCTCAGAGGCCAAAACCCAGGTAGTACAGGTGACTAGAATAAGCTGAGGTGCAGCCTGCAATGTATGATCAGATTGCAACCATTACAGTACTAGATTCTGCTGTTCTACAGGACCAGAAGGGGGAGTTGGAAATAACCAGGCAGCAATAGTGACAGTCCCCATCAGACACAAAGCATCTTACTCAATGTGTTGTTAGGTTGTTGCAAGTATTTATTATCTCATCTAACTTTTATAACATGGGACTATGGGATAATCATTTCATAGCTAAGGGCACCAAGGTACAGAAGCGCTAATACTATTCTTAAGGGAGAGCTAGGATGCAGAACAGAGAAGTTAAACGGAAAGCCCATGCACCTACCATACTTTTTGTCTCTAGTCTTCTTTGCTTATAGATTCGAAATTGAAGTTGCACTCACCTACAAGGCCAGTTGCTTTATCCCTGAGGAAATCTACATAGAACTGGACCCTGGTAGACCTCTCTTGTATGACTAAGACATGAAGGGGCCTAGGGGCTATGGCTCCATCCCAGGGCTCAGTGGAGGCCCCTTCCACCCTGAAGGCTGTCAAGAGGAATCAGTGGACATTTTGGCAGCAACCTTAAACTCAGAGAATGTGTAGGTGGCTTCCCTGGCTGAATGGTTCCTCCTCTGCCTTCGGTTCTCTGGCCCCATGTTGGACAACCTCAGTGACTTTCTGGGAACTGAGTACAAACACTCTCCTGGATTTGGTTCTTCCATTATCAAGCTGAAGGGACGGAACTGGATGCACCATTTCCAGCCTGACTGGGCTTGTATAGTGCAAACTTAAGTAATAGAGTGGAGAGACAGAATTTACTTTTTCCCCCAGCAATTAAATATTTATGGATTGCAAAAACCAACACTTTCTTATTACAGCTGGGAGCACTAAGAACCATCTGATTTTTTTTCTAGAAAAACAAGTTTGTAAACAAGGAGACCATGTCAACAGACAAGGAAGGTGACAGATAGAAAGACAAGTTCCTTCAGGAAGCTTGAATATTCTAATTTCCTGGGCCCAAGTTAAATTAAGTGTTTCAAATATGAATTAAATTTAAATTTAATTAGCATGTAATTAACATACACTATCAACCAATTAATCACCCAACACCTTCTCCCCCCCCCAAGATATAACAAGTATATATGAGATCTGTCAAAATGAAATATAATTAATGGGCTGCCAAGGACACGCTGTGAGAACAGTCCTGCTAATAGGAACACTCTCCTTAGGAATACTTGTTTCTCCTCCTCCCAAGGCAATGATATTCACATCAACCCCTTGAATTAAGCAGACCCTGTAATTTGGGTTGATTAAGCTCTTTACGCTTCTACAGGATGGTGGAGGAGAAAAGCACCCCAGTTAGCAAGAAGTAGCCCTGGAGAGTGCTGGGTTGTCTTAAGTGGAGGATGGGAAGTTCTCTTGAAAATGGAAAAGCAGACACAGTTCTGAGCCTCCTGGACCTCACTCTGCTCCCTGTCACATCTGTGACAGAATGGTACTGAATGAAGATTCTGTCTACATAGGACTGGAGGAGTGGGCATGCCTTAAGTTCAAGGGAAGGTGTTGATACTGAAGGTGCAAAGCAAACATATTGATGGGGAAAGGGACCCTCTCACAGCATTTCTGATTTGAGTTCTGATCATCATTACAGGTCTAGAGACTCTTGCCCACTTATTTCTATATTCTTGCTGAACTTCTTAAGATCCATATGGAACTATGCCATTCAGTCTGTGGTACAGAGAACAGTGTTGTTTGCTTTGCTGGGTCTATGTAAGGTCCATGTCTCATTTTCATAGCTCTGTGCCCCACCCTCATCCTTGCTCCTGGCTCTCATCTGGCGAGTGCAGGACTGCCAGTTGGTTACCCTGCTTTCCTGCTATGTTCTTTTCATGACATTCTCAAAACAGAGATGGGGGATCCTTGTGAAGAATGAACTAGATCATGCCAATGCCTTGCCTAAAGCTCTCTATGACATCCTGTTGCAGGTATGCAAAAGCCAGGCTGGCGACTTCTTCATTTAAAACATGCATGGTGCCTTTTCTTCCCTCTTATTTCTCCCTTCACTCTCGCTTCCTATACCTGCTTCCATCATGTGATGCCCCAGGGTCTCTCTCTCTCTCTCTCTCTCTCTCTCTCTCTCTCTCTCTCTCTATGTGTCCCTCCCGTGTGTCGCCCCCGTGTCTCTCTCTCTCTCTCTCTCTCTCTCTCTCTCTCTCTCTCTCTCTCATTTCCTCTGCCTGGTATCCTCTTCTTAAAAATGTCAAAATAGTTTGCTTCTTCATTTATTTACAGGACTGTCAGTTGGTCCCCCTGCCCAGTATGGCCTTCTTGGTACTCAGAAATTAAGCCTCCCATTTCACTCTTCATCAAAACACTAACCATGATTTACTATGCTGTATTCTTTACTATTTATCTTGTTTGTTTATTTCATCTACTCATTCTGTATGAGAACCTAAACTCTCCCCTAGGACAGGGATTATTTAATTTTCAGGAATGGTTTATTAAGTTTTTTCAGGAATGAATGAATTCAATGAATGTATTTTATGATTCTAATAAGCCCCATGAGAGAGGGAAAGAAAGTCTTAATATCCCTCTATTGGAATTAAAGGCTCAGAGGCTAAGTAAGACAGGTTAAGATCCCTGCTGAAACCATAATCTATATTTTGGGCTCGTGATGCCAATGCTTTCTTCCTCATTGAGTGTATGAGCTACTTTTCTCATTACTATGACAAAATACCTGACAGAAGCTACTTAAGTTTAAGGGTGCATCATGGTAAGATGCATGGCAGCGGGAGCCTGAGGCACCTGGTCACATTGTGTCCACGGTCGGGAATCAGAGACAGATGAATGCTGGTACTCAGCTTGCTTTCTCATTTTTATCCAGTATAGAATTGAAGCTTTTGGAACAGTGTCTTTTATGTTTAGGATGGGTCTTCCCCCTACAATTAACGCCATCTAGAAAATCTCTTACAGACATGCTTAGAGGTATGTCTCTTTCATGATTCTAGATCCTGTCAGGTTGACAATAAATATTAACCATCACGCTGGATGAGAGATTCCTTGTGCCTTCATTCTCAGCCTCTCTGGGTTGTTCCTGACCATTCTGGTCTCACTGTTCCTCCACTCTCTGGATTCAACAGTAGAAAATTCATTCATCCATACAGTACACTGGGGACCTACTATAGGGAGAAGCTGACCTGCCCATGTTACCTCTCAGAGCCCCCATGATGAACTACCACTACTTCTCAGAAGTCTTTTAGTGTATGAAAAAACTAAGAGTTAGAGAAATCAGGGGTTCTTCTCCAAGATCAAATGGCTCCTGAGAGGCAAAGCCAAGGCTTGACAAGGTATACCAGGCTATGGACTCCCAGGGGACCACAGCTGCCAACACTTCTCACACAGGGCTCTGACTTGGCTTCTGCTTTTCAGAAATTCTCAGTTAGCACATTGTCTGTTCCATATTTTTTAACAGATAGCATCAATAATTAATCATGACTTACTTCGCAATGACATGATTTGTATACTTGTGTTTGAACTACTTTCCTTTCAAATTATTTAAGTTTTTCATATGTTGAGAACTTTCAGTTATATCTGTAAGGCCTTTTGATGTATTCTTTCAAGAAATAGCTTGCTTTGCATGACTATAAAAATCATACATATTCATCCTAGAAAGATTAGAACGAATAGAAAATCACAGCGATGAAAGCTACAATTGGCCATAATTCTATCACCTAGCAGTTAGCATTACTTTAAATACTTTTGTGTACTTTATTTGAGTTATTTTTCTTATTAGATTTTTATCTGTACAAAATCATAATTATACTGAACATATTTATTGTATACATTTTAGTTTAAAAGATACATTATGAAACTTTTATTTTCAATTCTTCTTTGTTTACTTGTTATTTTTTGAGACTCAGTATATTGTACAGGCTGGCCTTAAACTCATAGCCTTCCTGCCTCAGCCTCTGGAGGGCTGGGATTGTATCATCATGCTTGGCTTTATCATAAATTTCTCTATCTCATACTAAAGATTCTTTTAAAACACTATTTTAATGACTGACCTACATTTCATAATTTCCGGAAGAACTTCTCAATTGCCTGGAAGGTGTTGTTCTCAGCTTCATTATGTCCTGAATCTCCTATAGTTTCAAGTACAATTCTTACTTACAGATGGGTTGTTGATGACTTAGCACTGGTTTGTGTCATTTCCTTTTTGAAGGTTTTAAGGGAAGGAGAGCTGTCTATCTGCCATAATGTAAGCATGGAGCTCCTTTGGGGTAGGAATTTGATTAGATGTTTAAAGACCCCTTTTAACCTTAAGTTTTAATGAACAGGTTTCAGAGTTTCAACTTGCGGTTTCAGACATTTGAGCTCCTCTCTAATTAGTATAATTAAGCTCTCAAGTATTTGTTGAACTAATAATTTAAATGACAGTTTGATGGTGAGAGCAGGATTTTCATGGGCATGAGGTTTAGCCATCTCCCTTCCAACAGAAACTAAGAACTGACACCTTCCCCAAGTTCTTGGAGCCTCCTTTACTATCTCTAAGCTATCAGTCTGTGGCTCTTTGCAAACTGTATTATTAAAAAATGATTTACATTTTCAAAAAGAATGAGAAGAGAATAAGGTATTTGGAGAGACAGAAACATATTGATTAAAATAAAGACTGAAAAAGACTGAAAACAATTTGGAATGAAAGGAAACTTATTTGTACCTGTAATCTAAGATGACATTGTTATTATAAACCGTAAAAGTTCACTTCCCATATTCCTTTGTGAACTGCTTGCTGGAAAGCTCAGAGCTAAATCTGTGTTTAATTACTGTAACTATAAAGTCTTGGAAGTGGTACAATTCTACCTCTTTTAAATGAAAACTTGTTCCAGGTCATAAATTGCAGGAGGTATATATCATGGATACTTACAAAAGATATACCAAGATATAA